GTCCAGAACAAGTTTCTCACTCTCTTGTCCTTATCTAAATCAAACTTGTAAAAGAAAGACGGATCCTCAGTTTGTTTCTTTCTAAAATAATCCAGTACTTGTGTCATATATGATCCTTTAACTTCTCTATTCAGCCTTGTTCTGTAGTTGCTGATATCTTTCTTTTTCATCGGTAGAGCTGTAAGCCCCCCTCTAAGATATGATAGAATAGAAACAATCTTCCTAGTCAGGATATTGTTATCGTTCAGAGTCTTGATAAGTCCTTTTTCCATTTCTGTCATATACTTGTGACAAAAAAATAGCTGATCCCTGTCTTCAGGGCATAGCTCATGATTATGCTCCAAATCAAGAGTTTTAATCTTCCATACACCTCCTTCTTCTTTTACCATCATAACACAAGGACAATCTGACTTCTGTTGAACATTTGTTTTCCTTCTCCTTATTGGTTTCTTTCCAACATCCTTGTCTACATCAGCTTCTTCTTGCTCTAAACACTTTGGTTCCTTTTCTTTTCCTTGATGAGTGCATCTCATTGTCACTTTGACTACCTCATTATTTCTCTTCTTACTTTGAGTTCTTGTTGTATGTGTTATGGCAACTTGAAATCTGGCTAGGAACGCATAGAAGTTGAAGAAATGGTGAGCATCATCCTTAGTCTTAAATTCCATCGATAGCTGTGGGGTGTACTTACCGTTGATTGGTGCATTGTTGCCTTCAGATGCTGCAACCTGCTCATTTTTTATGAATTCTTCAATCTCTTCCTCCGTCAGTTCCTGGCTACCATTTACATGCTCATTATCATCTGTTATAGCTAATGTAATATCTGAACTTGTTGGTTCTGTTGCTATGATCCTCACGTCATTTTCTTCCATTGTTGGTTGATCATCTTGATTTTCATGCTGCACCTATAAATATATTAGCAGCAGTCTCAATTTCTGAGTAATGTCATTTATAATACAAATAATTTTTTTCCAGTGTGGACTGAAATTATTGAAGAGATCATTTTTTATGTACCTCATCAATGTCCATGTTATTGAATACATCAGTTTACCAATGGTATTGTTGAATTTCAGATCTATCATCATCAGCTATGCTTGTCGTTGCTCCGTCATCATCAGCGACGATTGTCATTTCTCCATCCTGTTTTTGCAAAGATAAGTTTTACTTTGATGCCAGTACATATTTGTATTGCTTATACATGTAATCAAATTGGCTCAGTTGTCTGTATCTACCTCATACGATAGCTTTGACTCTGATATTGACCAGTCAGTTTGTGGTCCAAAGATTCCATCCAGATCTTCAAGTCTCATATTCTATTTTAGTTGTTTGATAATGAGAATGGTTATCATTTATAATATAACACAACTAGTTTGACAAGCATATATAATATAGTTTTACCTCATTGCTGTCATTTCCAAGTATCATTTTTGTTAATGATCCTTGCATTTCTTCATGTCGCTGCACAGTTTATAATGAAGCATTGAAATTAAAGTACTGTTATGCTGAAATTACATTGCACATATGTGTGTAATTTGCATATGTCTGAATTGTAATTTTTGTATACTGGTATTATAAATTTTACCTGCGTATTCTAGTCAGTCTGATTATCTTCCTGAGAGTTCCTGATCTGTTCCATCATAAGTTCAGTGTAGCCTCCCTGCATTGAAATATATTTTAGTCAAAAAACAACCTTCTTATGTTGGCATTTTTTTATTCTAAGCAATGATTTTTCTCACCTTTTTTGTATCTATAGGAATTTGAAAGGTCACTGGAACAATTTGTGCATGCAAATATTTGGTAAGGAGCTGACTGCACTTCCTTAGTTGCTTCTTGTGAGTTCACTAATGTTGGATAATCATCACATCTACTTGTTGTGACATACATATTATTCTGCTTCATAAAAAAGCAAGCAGTTGAGTACTTATATAGCTTTTTATCATATTCTTGTTCTTTTCATTACATCATTGAATTGTGTTTCTTACCTCAAGTAGTTGATCGAACTCGACTGGTGCTTGTATTAGATGCATAAGGAAAGCAATTGAAACCTGCAAGAAAATAAAGAAGCCATTAGTTCTCATTTATTTATTGTTTGTGTCAACTATTTTGAATTAGGAGTAATTTTACATCATTGTTGCTTTCTTCTTGGCGAATCATTTCCTCATAATTCTAAATCTGATATTGTGCCTCTGACATTTCCTGCTGTCTTGTTCTTCTTTCTAGATTCATGTTCTGTTATAACATCTAGATTTCATGTTTTGATAGTTAGAAGGTTTCTCATCATTACATATTCCATGCATCTAACACACACAAGGAGATTGGATTCAAATGATCGGTGTACTAACCTTGGCTGTTGAGGTTTGTGGTTCCTCTTCGATCTGATCTTCGCCCCTTTGCCCTGCTTTGTGTGTACAATTTTGCATGAGCCGGATCTTTAGATTATATACATGTATAGTATAATTACATTAGCAGCAAGTACAAGTTGCACTATGTCGGGTGCGTAAACCTGGGGTCCCTCGCGGACCGGCTTCCCAACAAAGGCTCGGCCCAAGCAGACAAACGCACAACTCGTGGGCTGGCCCAAGTATCTAAACGATAGGCCAGAAGGGCAATCCAATCACTGACCGGAAGGTCTGGTCGAGGAGGAACGGTGCCCGTTTTCTGACTATGGCCCGCCTCTCTGACTGGAGCGCTCGCTTCGGTCTTCAGCCCACCTCCGGACAGTCTCTCCGACCGGAAGGCCTGGACAAACACCACTTTCGACTCCGACCCGCGTCTCCGACCAGGGATGCGCCAAACCCCTGCTCACTGCTCCTCTCCAACTGGCGCATTCAGAGCCGACTGGGACTAACCGACCGGGGATGCCCACTCGATAAGGACCAGGGAACGGACGGAGAAAGTAAGGCAGGGCGCACAAGTCAAACCGCAATACCAGGGACCGTACCCTGTACACCTACAGAAATAGTACTCCGCAACCACCCCAGCACAGCAGAGCCCAAGCAGTGTTGTAGGCGCTGACATTTTCCCCTACAGTATTGTGGGCGCCATTAACTCTCATACGGTAAGGCTCCCCCCACATGCCTCTGGGCATCAACAGTGTTGTGGGCGTCGGCATTTACCGTACCAGGCGAACATGGTAAAACCCCTTGCATGCCTCTAGGTATCAACAGTGTGGCAGGCACCGACGTCTGCCATACCCGAAGAAGACAACATAAACCTCCCACGTGCATCTGACATTCAACAATGTTGTGGGCGCCTACCATCATCCTGTACAAGCCGACATGGGCAACAAGGCTTAGTAGCATACGTACTCTCTCCCTCTCACTTGTAAAGCTATCCCCTTCATCTATAAAAGGGGATGCGCTCTCTTCTAAAAGACTAAGTTGATTCAAGTTGATTTAGATCCATTAGATCGATCAAGTTCACTACTACACAATAGCAGAACCACCAGGTTCAAACCACGAGCACACGCTCAAACACTTAGCTCATAGCGGGGCTCCCGTCACTCTCGGCCCTTCCGACCGGAGTCCGACCGAGCCTCTTGTACCCCCCATCTTTCTCCTTCTCGTTTGTAACCCCACTGCAAACTTCGAGCACCTAGGCTCAGGAATAAAGTCATCGACCGACTCAAACTGGACGTAGGGCACGTTGAATGAACTAGTATAAACCATGTGTCATTGAGTGCTAGGCCACCTCCGATCACAACATACGGCAAAACTACAAATATTTACTTGTTGGTCACTTTCTGCACCGACACACTATGTCAAATGTGCAATTTCCTTATTTTTGTTCTATAATTTATTTACAATAGGAATATAGCAAATGCATAACAGATACTCCCTCCGTCCTAGTATATAAGGCGTAACTACTTTTTGTTTATGTCCCATAATATAAGGTGTGCTCTCTCACATACATCAATGCAGTAGTACTAGTGTTCAGAGAGAGAATTAAATGTGTGATTGGTCTTTGTACCATAGGTGGTTACGCCTTATATACTAGGACGGAGGGAGTATATTTATAAATTTAGTTGAGGATTAGTTGAGGATTGCTGAGTGGTGTGGCTATGCTTGTCTTGTGTAGGAACACACTGAGTTGTAGCTTCTTGTGCACACTGAGCATGTGCACAAGAAGCTACCATGTGCATCTCTGTCTTGCTTTGTCGACGGCTACCATGTGCATGCATTCTCTTGACCTAGCTAGCTACCTAGGCTCGGAATAAGTATATCCTTGGTGCGATAGCTAGCAAGGACACAGAAGCCAGCGACTGACTTCTTTTTGTTCTTACTAAACTGCTACTGGTGTGCTAGTTTGTTTCTTTTTCTTTTCCTATGGGTGGTTGTGCCCTTGTTTAGTGATTAGCTAGTTAGTTGTTCTCTACTCTTGATTTCAATGCTCTCCCACTTCGATCGGTGATGTGGTGGAGAATAACATGCATTTATCCACTCTCAAGTGCTTCTCTGTTTTTCTTTGTTCTTGGACATCTCGCCTCTCTCAAGAATATTTATATATATGGCTTGATTTTTTTCTTTGGAGCGCTATGAAGTTGATATTGAAAGCTTACGTTTTATCTCAAGTTTCCTAGACCCTAGAGCAAGAAATATATACTACAGTTAAAAACCATCCTTTTCTAGAGAGGACCTTTCGACAGTGTTTTCATTTGTTTCCACTTGTGCCTTCTCTCACCAAACCATCTTTTCATGGACAATAGCATTCTTGATTGTAACATCCACAAGACCACAATCAATACCAATGCCCACCCTAGCGTTGTTTCTTGTTAGCACATGTGTCACACATGTCCCAATCTTTTTTTTGTGAAAGATGTCCCAATCTTATTTAGTTGCATAGTACATCTTAGGCGTACGTACATCCATTGTGGTGTCAATTATGTCTGTTGTCTCTTCTCCTCTGATCTCTACAATCGTCTTTACTGATGATGGCATCATCTTTCTTTCTTCTTTTCCATTGGTTATCAGGAGTGGAGAGAAGCTAGCTAGCTACGAGACATGAGGGACATGGGAGAGAAGAGGAGACATGGGCACGGCCATTGCCATGGCCATCTTGTTGGGTTTGTAGTCGGAGGGGTTGGACATGTAGAGCATGAGGAGAAGCGCATGGAACTGAAGAAGCTGGACATGAGCAGCATGTCCATGGACACCCTACCACATCTCACCACGCCCCTTGGCAACATCACTACCTTGGATCTCTCCAACAACAACCTACAGGTATATATTTTTAGTTCGTGGTAGGTTTCCACTTTTGATCAGCAATTCTTGCTTCTTGTGTTGCTATCTTTTGCATGTGTTCCATGTTGTTCTACTTTTGTTGTTTTCCTCATCTAGTTAGAGTGATCATCCTTGTCTCCCATTTGTTCTCTCTATTAGAATGGATAACACGCAGAACACTTATCTTATATGGTGTTGCATATTATTATATCGCAGTGTGATAAGTTAACTGCAAACCTAGCTAGTGTGAGATAAGCATGAATTGTAATTAATATATGAAGGATAGCTCATTAGCTATCTAGTCATCTTCTCACAATATCTTGTTATTGCTTTGCCGCTTGGCTTGGCCTCTTGTATGTCATACATGGGGATGGAGACACACAAAAAAACAGATATGCATGCCTTGTGAGTTGTGACTCAATCTCTGGGTGCTAAAGAATATTCTGAAATTGCACGCAGAAAGAAACCAATAATGCACAAGACAAGACAAGCACAAGCAACAGGCCATCTTTGCCATCCTGAATGTCTTTTCCATGGATCTACATTCTCCTAGTCTTTGATCTGAGTTGCTATCGTTTTTTGTTGCTTTTTCAGAAAGTAGATTCAAAAGATTGGGATACTAACCTTTGTTGATGAGGTATGGATCAGTCTTCTAGTTCTTCTTCTTGAAATTTCATGTTCTTCTTTGCAATCTGATGTCTCCCCCTTTCCCCTACCCTGCGTGAGCAGAGCAGAGGCTTCCCCTACGTAGATCTGTTTGTGCTTGGCTTCTCTCCCAAGTCTTTTATATTCCTATGTATTCATGGTTTTGGGCTTTTGTTATGGGCTGCTACTGTTAAATGGGCCAATTTGTAATTTTAGTTATATTCCTTGTATTCATGGTTTTGGGCTTCTCTTATGGGCTGCTGCTGCTGTTAAATGGGCCATTTTGTTATTTTAGTTAATGGGCCAACTTTGGTTGCACAGAAATTATAACAGATTTCCTCTATGTGGGCTTTCTTTAAAAATCCATTGTTTTAGAGGCAGGCAACAAACGTGTGCTACCTTGTGCTAAAACATATGGTTTCTTCTCTGTTGGAAATCATGTGTTATGCAAGCAACCAACAACCATGTGCTAGCTTGTGCTGAAACACATGGTTGTTGGGTAGACAGACTCAAAATATAAGGAACATTCTTTGTAACTAAGTATCCATATCTAGTTGCTAACGGTAACAACATTTTTGGCATCCTAGTATTAAATTTTAGTCCATCAAAAACTTATATAATTATCTGAAACCTATGTGGTAGATGACTAGATGTATGATATATAGATAGTAAACTTCTCTTGTTTCAACTTTCTACAATTATTAATGCAATCATGATGATATATTCTTCTGAGATTAACACATCCGACAGTTACCCGAAACCCACGGGCGACCCACAGGCATGGGCGTAGGTGCAAACTTGCACCCGCAGGATGTGTCGAGGGTGGGTGCCTTGTGGGTGTTGTTGAACGGGTATTTGAGTTTGCACCCGCAGGATGTTTCGAGGGTGGCTGTCTTGTGGGTGTTGTTGAACGGGTATTTGCTCCACTCGTATCACACCTGACCCGTTGCCATCCCTAGTTCTAAAGCACCTTGTCGAAACCTTTGCCTAGATGAATTTAGGTGCTTACTTTATGGACACAAAGTTGTGTTCTTTCTAGATTCACCTTGTTTTCTAAACATATAGGGGAAAGTTATATAGAAAAAAATATAAGTGTTGCCGTAGAGGTTGACATTGTGAAATATAGCTATCCTGAACAAATAGATCTAGCCTACTGTACTCTGCTGTTGAGTCGCACAGGATGATATGATCAGGACAATGATAGTGCTGGTTTCTGCAAACTGATCATAGATCAGTTGGTTAGGTTCCTTGTGGTGGAACCTGTCCATCCGAGTTCAAGTCCTCGACTTGGCATGGGTGTTCGTATTTTTTTGGATTTATTCTAGGATTTAACGGCGCTATGCTTTCAGTGGCAGGCGACGTCCCCATCGACAGCGAGGCGTTAGTGGTGACTTCGTGAATCTCAAGATCTACCTGCTCAGTTTTAAAAAAAATTATATAGTGCTGGTTTCCGTGAATGGTAAATTTAAGATGAATATAGGGATGGACCAAATAATAAATTTAGAGGTAAATGCATCGTATGCCCTTGAACATGTCTTGGGGTGCCAGTTAGGTCCACAAACTCTCAAATCGTACTTCTGACACCCTAATGTTGTTTAAGTATGCCACTTAGGTCCATAACTTATCGGAACAAGGTTTTGGCCGACGTGGCGTGGACAGCGTGGCGCTGACTGTGTCCAAACGCACGTGAGCCGCGAGTGAGCCTGGTTTGGGGTGTGCAAATAAGCAGAGAGGCCCCCAAGTTCTTTTCATATCCTCTTCCTAGTACTTCACCTCTTCGAGTCTACCGTCACGGTCACACGAACTCGCGGGGAGCGCATGGGGCGGCCGGTAGTGGAGGCAATCACCGGTGAGTTAGGAGGCCAACACGGTGGAGGAGTGATGCCGAAGCCCGGTGGTGTGCGGATTCCCGCGGTGGTCGCGGTGAATCTACACGATGGTGGCGGTGTTGCGGCCGAAAGGGCAAGGCCGACCTGTGTATGGTGAGTGAATCCCCTTGAGCTCATTTCATTGTAATCTTAGTCTTCGCATTGAATGTAGTTAGATGGTGTTGTGAACCATAATGGAAAATGTTTACCATCTTTTATGATTTTGGTTCGTCTAGGGTTTGGGATTGACCTAATTTGTTAGCAATCTTTCCAATTTTAGAAGCTGATAGTGGTGAGTTCACGGTTGAGATGCATCATGGAGGTTTTTTTACTGGAACAGGAGTTAATCGGGCCTATGTTGGTGGGCAAGTTCACTGCTTTGATCATTGTGAGGCAGGCACTTGGTCTCCAGTGTGGTTTAATGAGTTGTTGTTCATGTTTCACTACCCGAAGAACCCAAATTTGAAGATGTACTGGCTTTTACCTGGGAAAGACATTTCAGATGGCATTAGGTTGATTTTTAGTGACTCAGATACGTTGGTGATGGCCTCTCTTATAGGTAGAGTGAGGACATTTGTTCTGTATGCTGATCATGATGACTCTCTAGCTGGCTTAGATTGGGATGACATTGTGGCAAACCCAATAAGTTCACTACCCAAGGTTATGAGCCCCTGTAGAGTGGGAGTGCAGAACAGGAACATGAACAATATTCCTGATGATGTGGATGCAACTTATGAAGATGATGTGCAGTATAGTTCTAGTGAAGATGACTTGGATTTTGAAGATAGTGATTATGATCTAGCTAATGAAGATGATGATCTATTCATAGATAATGTTGATGACCAAGTGGTTGATCAAGGAGTTGCCAAGGGAAAGAAGGTACCCAAGGGAAACAGAGCTCAAGTTGTGGTGGGCAGAGGTGATGAGGATTTCTCAACTGATGATGAAGGGTTAATGGTTCCAAACTCTGATGATGAAAACAATGTCACATTCAATTTCAAGTCATTCAAGCATGAAGACTTCGTTAATCCAGTGTTCAAAGTAGGAATGATCTTTGAGTCTGTAGAGTTGCTAAGGAAGGCTATTACAGAATATAGTATGAAGCACAGGGTGGATATTAAGATGCCAAGGAATGAGAAGAAGAGGCTGCAAGCCATATGTGAGAAAGGATGTCCTTGGAATTTGTATGCTTCAGATGATAGGAGGGATCATGGAATGATGATAAAGACTTTTTGTGGTGAGCACAACTGCCACAAGAAATGGGTATTAAAGAGGTACACATCCAATTGGCTTGCTGATAAGTACTTGGAATCTTTCAGAGCTGATAAGAAGATGACACTAGGGAATTTTGCTAGAATAGTGCAAAAAGAGTGGAATCTGACACCAGCTAGGACAAAGCTTGCGAGAGCTAGAAGAATAGCAATGAAAAGGGTAATGGGTGATGAAGCAGAGCAATATAAGCTGCTGTGGGACTATGCTCAAGAGCTAAGAAGGACCAATCCAGGCAGCACATTGTATCTGAACCTTAATGGTAATCTTTTTACCTCACTTTATATGTCACTTGATGCTTGCAAGAGGGGCTTCCTTGAGGGTTGCAGACCTTTAATATGTTTAGATGGATGTCACTTGAAAACCAAATATGGGGGGATAATGCTGACAACTGTAGGTATTGATCCTAATAATTGTATTTATCCAATAGCTCTAGCAATTGTTGAAGTTGAGTCACTAGCAACTTAGAAATGGTTCTTAGAAACTTTGAAGGCAGACCTTGGTATTGAAAACACATATACATGGACACTTATGACAGACAAACAAAAGGTGAGAACTTGATGATTCATTGTTGTTATAGTAAATCTTATTGTTATTTACCTAATGTTCTAGACCTAATTCACTTTTTTCACTATGTGCAGGGCCTCATTCCAGCATGCAGCAAAGTTTTTCCTAAAGCTGAGCATAGATTCTGTGTTAGATATTTGTACAACAACTTCCAACAGCACTTCAAAGGTGAGAACCTGAAGATACAACTTTGGAAATATGCTAGGTCCACCACTGTGGATCAATGGAATACACCACTGTGGATCAATGGAATAGAAACATAGAAAAAATGAGGGCACTAAACCAGAAGGCATATGAGTGGCTAGAAAAGATGGCTCCAAACACTTGGGTGAGGGCATTTTTTAGCACTTATAGCAAGTGTGGCATACTTTTGAACAATAGCTGTGAAGTTTTTAACAACTATATTTTGGATGCTAGAAATGCCAATTCTCAGTATGTTGGAGCACATCAAGGGCCAACTGATGAGTAGGTACTACAGCAAGGAGAAAGAGGTTGGACAAGTGTGGCAGGGACCAATCTGCCCGAAGATTAGGAAGAAAGTTCAGAAGAATTTAGAGTTTGCCAACACTTGTTTTGCAGCACCTTCTGGACATGGTATATTTTAGGTGCAGGATAGGGGGTATCAGTTAGTAGTTAACATTGGGCTGAAACAATATGACTATAGAAGGTGGGATCTCACTGATACCTTGTTCACATGTCATTTCTTGCCTAAGGCATGAAAGGATATCCAGTGAAACAATGGTCCATGACTACTATACTTCAGCAAGATTTCTGATTGCATATGGTCCCAAGATCTATCCATGTGCTGACAAGTCCATTTGGGAGAAGGTCCAAGGAGTTCCTGTTGTGCTTCCTCCTCTGTACGAAAAGAAGGTGGGCAGACCTCCTAAGAATAGAAGGAAAGAACCAGTGGAATTAGAAGGAACTAGTGGAACAAAAATGTCAAAGCATGGAATGCAAATGACTTGTAGCTACTGTAGGGATCAAGGCCACAACAGAGCAGGCTATCAGTTAAGGAAGTCAGGAATAAGGCCCAAACTGTAGCCTATGAGGAAAACTATGGAAGAACCACAAGAAGAGGACCCTACACAGCAAATGGATAACAACTTAGATGAAGAACCAGTGATTACACAGCTAGTATGGACTGACCAAATATTTTACTCACAATACACCAATTTTACACTATGCTTGCACAGCTAACTGTCTATGCTTGCAGGTTGCCATTCATTTTCCAGAAACCAACACACCACTACTATCACAGTTAACAAACACTATGTTTTCACA